TTGGTGGTGCGCCTCTCATTCGTCTGAGCAAAGTCAAGCATTTAGGTGTCATCTTTAATAGTAAGACGATTATTTCTGAGATTAGGCTCTATCAAACTCTGTGGTCGAGTTACAAGGCATTGATACAATTAAGCTTTTATATTGCTCACTTGTTCGTTCAAAGCTTGAATATATGTATAAAGTGTTTGGCAGACTTTTGGATAGATAAACTTGAAAATATCCACAGACGACTATTGAAGTACTAACATTTTAAGGAAAATCTCAGATAGCCGCCAGTTGGCTACCTTCAAAAATGTTAGAAGAAGCCTTTAATCTGGAAAGTCTCAGGGAAAGGCGTGATAAGTGCTCCGTTAATTTTGTGAGTGATATAATGCACAATTGTGTCGATTGCTGCACTATAATGCATACATTTAGTTTTCTTGTCCCATGTTTGAATTCTAGACAATTTGATAGTCTAACCCTACATCATGCACCTTAAGGATTTTTCCACTATTTTACTTTTGTGGCAGGGCTAATGACCTTGCAGAACAATTGGATATATTTCTGTGAGATTTTGTCTGTTTTTTGCTTACTTATTTGCACTATGATATTTGTGTGTTTCGACTACCTACTATTGCTTGTATTATGAAATAATTATGCTCTTTTTTTGTACCGTTCATTTTGTTCATTGTTGCAAATTTGCTACCCTGGTATCAACTCACGTTCATTCGCTGTGGGCGGCGGGCTCCCTGCTTAGTATCAATCGCAACTCCATATCAAGTTCGCGCTCGCATTGTGATTTAAAATGCCAATGTTCAAAGAACTAGAATCTATGAAATCAAGCTTTTACGGACAGCTTGAGCTCATATTGGCTTCAAAACGAGGCGATACTCGTTATATGAGTAATGAATAGTACTTAGAACTTAAGAGGCGGTGCAACGCAAATAAATTGGAAGTAACATATTTGAATGCTTATGTTTCTAATTACAGACCAAAGGATACCTAGTTTATTACCACCAGCGCGAAGTCACAACTTATAAAACCTAGCCGATAATTGTTTCAGATGATTCTACTGATACCGGCAATACTAGGCGGAGTATTGTCAACATTTCGTTATTATAATTTATATGAGAGTTAATAACAACTCAATAACTGATCCTACGACCTTACAGCGATTTCTGACACTAAGATCTACGAGGTCTGTAAATTGAGTGATGACACTGGCAACGTAGCATTCGACCTGGCAACACTGGAGGCACAGGGCTTGGAGGGAAGACAGGAGAACATGTGATCCGCCTGCGTTAGAAGTTTGAAGTCGCTCGAGTCATGTGGTTGTCCGTAGCGATTTCATGAAGCAGTTTTCCATATTGTATTCTAAAAATGAACATCAACTTTGAGGAGCGGTATGCTATCAGGTCTTACTTCAGATTTGGGCACAGTGCAACGGAAACCTTTGCTAAACTTCAGCAGGCCTACGGAGATAGTGTTTTGTCAAGTGCAAGGTTTTTTTGGCCGTTTAAGGCATTTTCAGAACGGAAAGAGTCGACTGAAGATGAACCGTGAAGCGGAAGGCCTTCATCTTCAAGTAGCGATGATAATATGAATCTTGTGCATTCAGATCGGTTGACAGTCAGAATGACCAAGGAAGAAATGAATTTGACACACACCACCGTTCATCAGATCAAAAACAAATGGGTGTTGCATCACAATCCAACTAACAATTATCACTCCTATTAGAGTTGCAAGAATGATTATACAGTATTCCTTACACAGCATTGTATACTGTAAGAACATTGGCAAAACCCTCTTGAACACCTATACAAGCGGAATGGGCACACCTAATAGGACACTTCAGTTATTTAAGAGGTTGTATAAGGGCTGCAGGTAACAGTTATACAACAAAAGTGTAAGCCTCTTGCAGCCGCTATAGGACATTTGCGCCAGTGCAAGATTCAGTTTTTGTCAACTATACAACTATTCTGTTACGTGATTCTACTTTATTGCAACCAAACTATTTCTTATGTATTGTATAGACGAAGTGAACACATTACAGTCATCTTGTTTACTTACATATCGGCCATTGTGAATTTCATACACAGGTATATGATAAACTTCTACATTGTGATATAGGGCTATTGAATTACTTGCGCAGCAAATTTTATTGTGATTATCGTTCAAAGTAGTTACGCAATTTCTACGGGCTTCGTATTTGATTCATATTTTGATAATGATCAAAAGTGTGCCTAGATTTTTAAGATGAAAAAGTGAACTTATCTGCGTTAAATCTTCCACAAATCCAATATTTAGACACAATTACACTAATTTGGATCACTTTATATCTGTAATTTCGAACTGAAACATAATTATTTAATATTAAATAGAGGAATACATGTTTGCTCAATATGGCGGGTGGTTTTGTGTATAATCATGGCATCGTCCATGTTGTCTTTAGTTTATTAGAATATTTTGGTGTTGCTTGCAGGTGTTATACAACATTTTGACAAATGTTTGAAATGAAATACCGACAGAGTCGAATGATTTACCCAGAATTTGTACCAGATCTATATCTTCTGTTTGAACAGTTGATAAAACCTTTTGAACCAATATGCATGCGTTGTTTGTCTTAAAACATTGGTTATGGCATTTCAACAAAAATATGACAGCAGAAAGTTAGGTTATGGTGAAGTTGTATACCAACATATTTAGCATATCTACAGCCTTTAACAGTTACTAAACAACACTTGTATAAGTGCTTCCGTTGGGAGCATCTTGTTGGCTAAAGTAGTAAATTTCACAGCAAAACAACGAGGCTCCGGTTTGTTTTATAAATGTTACCATGGATGCCGCAACACAACCATTTTGACTAACGTGCAAATATGCCGTATAAAATAGTTGTATACACGTTTATGCAACAGTTAAAAATTTGCCCTACAAGGTGTTGTATACCTATGCTATAAGAATATTTTCAACACCTGATTTTAGAGCAAATATGTTGCAGAAAGCAAATTTGCGTTCCACACAACATTAAGCCGGCATTTTGGTGTTCAGGCAACAACAATAGAGAGCTTTTATGGCTGAGCGGTTCTTTTACCAAGAGCTTATAACACTACTTTGCTAGCTGGGAATAATGCTCCTTGACACAAAGCAATGTGTAGCTCCTCAGCCTCCTGATTCGCCGGACTTGAGTCCTTGTGACTTTATTTTCCCTAAATTGAAAAATCACCTCAAGGGAACTCATTTTGGGAAGCTGAAGACTATTCCAGTATCCGAGTTCAGGTACTGTTATGAGGAGTGGAATAGCTGCTACCGGCGATGTGTGGTGTCAGAAGGAAGCTACTTTGAGGGTGATAATATAAAATTGTAATTATATTTGAAACAAAAAACTAAAAAAAAATTAGTCACATCACTTAAATTACATACCTCGTGATACGCAGAATCCGTATTCCTTTGAGCTAACTAACTGACATGTTTGTAATAGTCTGAATGTTTCCGATTAGCAATTCCGGCTACTAATCGTCCATTTATCTATTGCAAGGCGCATACTGTCCGGTACAACGGCACCCGACCGTACAGGCAAATAAAAAGAAAACCTTTAAAATAGCCTCAAATGGCGTTTCGTAAATCAAAATCAATTATTTCGACAATGATATCGGTCCTTACTGGGCTTGAATGATCAGAAGCATATAGCGTGCCCCTAAGTTGGACATATGTTCGACACCTGTAGCTGCTATTTGCCACATACGCCTTGATACATGAAATAATTAAATACCTATCAGCTTGATCTCCGCGAAACTCCAGTTTTTAGGCTTTTCTTTGACGAAAAATCTGTCGATGTATCACCAATCATTTAAGCTCTCTGTTCTCCCTATTAAAACCACAAATGCTGAATAAATAAGATTTTTTCCGGAAACCTGAGAAATCCCTTCTTCCATCTACCGCACGCCTTTACGGAGAAGTTACATTTCTCCCAGAGAAGTGAGGATAATGAAAAAAAAAACCCAATGAATATATTGATTATGTGCATTCGTGTGCTGATGGAGACAGATCACAACACTTTATATCGAAACAAGTTGTCTCCCAGCACAATGTTTTGGTCGGCTTTGGCCACTTGCGTCCCCGCACAAACATCAACACGTCTTTGGCTTGAAACAGCTTTTATGTGCACAATCTTTCTTCCAATTTTATTCAAATACGGGCCACTGAATGAGTGTGTCTGTGATTAATTGAGAAATGGATAAGGAACAGTGGCTGCCACTATGCTGTGGGAACTTATAGAGTTGTTAGAGACACCACCGAAGAAAAAAGTATAGTAAACCAGAAGAGGAATATTGCTGGTTTCATCAGTAAACTTAAATGTTATCTTTGCCAGGTATAATAACTACAGTAGGATCCGTATTCCATCAGTTGATCACCCTTTTGGTATAACTGAGGATGCAAACAGAAAAGGAAGTATAAAATACAGAAATACTATTATATCAGAAGAAAGAAAGAGAAAAAACAGAACAAAATAAATTTTGCTTTGAAACGTAATTGAAGGAGTAGACGTAACAACGGTGCAAAGCGTCTCGCATCGCCTCGAGGTAATGGGTGATATGCATAAAGGTGAGTGGGTTCTCAGAAGTAGCGACTCCATATTGTAGCGAGTAACTACTCCTGTTAGGGAGAGCCTACTCGGTTTCTGTCGGTGGTGTTTAGGTCGATTATTATTTGTTCATTTACATGATGTCAACCTATTCTGAAGACCATTCATCTGAAAATCAAACAGTATTTGTTAATATAATTAAACACCCCGGAAATCAAAAATAAACGACGTAAGGCGGTTGAAGAAATAAAAGAAAAGGTAGAAGCAGAATTAGGAGTTAAATATAATGAAGGGCAGATTTGGAAGAAGATTCAAAACATAAAAACCAGATTAAAAGCGAAGACAGACAGAAATCATACCAGAAACATACCGATAAAATTGAAAGGATGGGAACAAGAACTGTTCAATTTTCTACAAGGAGAATCAAATCCTAGTATTGCTTGGTTGCAATGTTAGTTGTATTTTTTTGTTTTTCCATACAGTAGGTATAAGATGTGATTGAGTATAATATATATACATGTCAATAAATATAAATAGCATATATTTTAAATTTTAGGTGCTGCTGTGGCAGGTTGCCCACAAAAAAGCGTTGATTACACTCCAACAGCCTGTGCTGAAGAAGAAACAATCACCGAAGAAGCATCTGGAAGTGCAGGACCAGTACTGAAAGCTACCACAATGAAAGCCGGACCCAGTAAGGAGCCTTCTAAAAAAAGGAAAACGGGGATTAGTGGAAACCGATGAAACACGAGATTTATCAATAACAGAGCTCCAACGTCTCGCTTTACTTGAACAACTATAAGTATTTCGGCTAGCTAAGGAACTGCTACTTCACAAGAAAAATATTAATGAATCTGATCCAAATTTATCAACTTTAAATGATGTGCAGAGACTGGAAATCCAATTTTCATGAGCCTATTTCCAGGACAGAACTGACAGAAATACTTCATGTTTCATAAATGTTATTTTTTATTAATTTTAAGGACTTTGTCTTAACTTACCATTTTGAAAATGTTATTAATTTTGTTATGAGTAATTAAACACCGTTCTTCAACGTATATCTACATAATTTTTAAATTTGGATCATGCTAGATACTTACTTAGACCCGAAAGCCATGAATAATTCTTGACATTGCATCGCTTCTAAATTGACCTCTCTGACGTATTACTCCATCTGCATAGTCGGCAGTATGTTGGTTATGGATTTCTTCTTGTTCGACATCTCCCGGTATATAAACAGCAAAATCTTCATCATTAAGGTGCTTAGCCACATTATGCAGGATAAAACATCTCATGACAAGGGAGGGCACTTTTTCTGTATCAACGCGTATTTAGTTATGTAGAATGGGAAAACGCTGTTTTAGTTGAACGAAACATCTCTCTATTATAACTCGCTCTCTCGTAAACAGCCGATTGTATGATCTTTGTTCTGCTGTTTCTAAAATCCTAAAAGGAGTCATGAGCCAAGGAGCTATACCATACCCAGAGTCTCCCAACAAAACAGCACTAGACCTATTCCATTTCATAACGTTGTATATATCAGAATTCTTCCATATCCGAGAGTCGTGTACAGATCCTGGTCAAGAAACATCCACACTTGTGAACTCTTCGTTTGAATTGCACGTTGCTTGTACATTCATACTAGCAAAGTTCTTTCTGTTCAGATATTCGTCTGCATGCATAAACGGCTTCAGAATAGGTATATGGGTGCAGTCGATAGCACTCCTAGCTGAAGGAAAATTAAACTTTTCTTGCCACTTATTTTTAGCATTGTGTAGATCTTCACATGAGGTTGGGAATCTAATCCAAATATTCGACTTCTGCACAATGCGTGTTATAACGTTGGTAACGGTTCGGGATACCGTAGATTGATGGACACCAATATCTTCTCCTATGCCAATTTGAAATCCTGGATCACCCACATATCGTAAAAAACCCTCATTCTTTCTATATTGCTCAAAGCACCGCCCCTATATTCTTCTGTCTCTCCAAGAAAATGGTTACTTATTTAACTTACTTATCTTAACTTTACTAAACCGATATAAGGCCCGATGTCTACTTCCCTTGATTTCCTACGATCTTTAAACACCTTCGTGGGCTACTAAATAGGCATAAATTTGGCCATTTCGTGAAGACATCCACTTCTTATAAAGCTGAGTCTACTACTAAGGTATCTCGCATTTCTTTAAGTATGTACTCAGCCGTCAGAGTGGACGCTCGCTTTTATGCATATAAAAATTAAAGTCGGCACTCAAGGAGCGAGTACAGCCTCACGGAAAGAGTAGAAACTTATGAGTGTGAGCTTCTACTTACATTTTTATGCATATCAAATGGAGTGGCTGCCTTAAAAATACGAGTCAAGAGTAGCCACTCGCCTTTATGCATATCACCCAATGTTTCGACCAGTGTACGGCGGCGGCGCCTCGTATGTATATGTCGTGGCCATATCGTAGAATCGACCGTTTCATAAAATGATCGAGTATTTCATGAAACAGAAATCCAGAATATCTTACGAACTCGTTTATTGTTATTTAAGCACGACAAAAATATTAATCATTATTACATTGCACAACATGTCACAAATAAAATTTTTGATTATCACAATTTAAATTATTAACTGGCAAACATAATATTTTAGCAGGCACACGATTCTGGATGTAATTCAAAAGTGAAATACTAACCTGTAAAACACATTACACACTCTACGGCTTTTTGACATGTTGGTCGGTATATGCGTGACATGCATAGTACTCGAGAGCTCAAGTACCTTTCTTTCTCATTTGGCAACAAGTTATTAGACAACTCACTTCAAAAAAGAACTTTGTTGTTAACTACTGCCGCGTTGAAATGTAAATAAAGTGCTGCTAGTGCCCCCATCGGTAATTAATGTGAATATTTTACGATCTGATCAAATGTGATTGATCATTTTATGTAGGTAGTAGCCGCGCGTTCAGTGGATAATATATGGTTTGTTCGTACATCCTCTTTGCTGATAATCAGCAAACTGATAGTCGGCGACAAGTCATGACCTAGTTTACGCAGTTATCTGTCACTGACACTTCGCTGACTGCATTGATTGCGTACATAAGAACGAGTTGGCTGAGGGACGTAATACCGATTACCGGCAACTAATCCGCTGTTCATACATAAACTTATGACTGTTTGATGACTGTCAAATCAGTCAGCAGATAAGTTTCCAGTATATTGTCAGAGCTCGAAATCAAGTACAATAATTATTCGAATGTAAAATTTTTCAGAATGAAGTAGACAATTTTGAAAAAGTTGGGGGTTCATTTGCTGTAAACCAGAATAATCTAGGATTTTTCGTTCAACTGTCCAAATGTGCCCGAATTTTCCTTTAGACAGCAAAACATGGACACTTTCTAGAAAAAATATCTAACAGCTATCTAAAAACTCGGACAATAGGGTTTTTGTTCCCTGTTCCCTTGTCGACCAGTCTCGAAGGGTATGCACAAACAGTATACAGGGATTGTCCGGAAAGTAATAGGACTCATTTTCTTCCGCCATGACTGTACTTCGGAGCGTGCGCGCACCGACTGGATTCGGAAGAGGCCGTTCCTAGCTAACGAGTGAGCGGCTGGTTACTTGTCTCCGAGCACTTGGAGAGTCAGGACAGGCATTTTCGCGCGACCTGTTTCTGTGAGTGGTGCAAGCCGAAAATGCAGCGTTCGTTAGAGCAGAGGTACGCGATTAAATTCTGTGTGAAACTAGGTAAATCTGCGACAGAGACGTTTGATATGATCAAGCAGGCTTACTCAGGTGTTGCTTTAACAAGAAGTGGTGTGTTCCGGTGGCACCAGGTCTTTTTGGAGGGCCGGGAAGAGGTCGCTGATGAAGACCGTGCTGGAAGACCTTCAACTTCGACAAACACCGATAATGTGACTCGTGTGCGCAAAGTTTTGAACTCAGACCGTCGACTAAGTATTCGTTTAATTGCCCAGATGTTGAATTTACCAAAATCTGTGGTTCATGACATTGTGACACAGCATTTGAACATGCGCAAAGTGCTCACTGACGACCAGAAATTCCAGCGAGTGGAAGTGTGCCAAGAAAATTTGAACATGTGTGAAAGTGACCCCCCATTTTTGAATAACGTAATCACAGGTGACGAGTCGTGGATATTTGAGTATGATCCCGAGACAAAGAGGCAATCTTCCGAATAGCACACGACTGCGTCTCCTCGCCCAAAAAAGGGAAGAATGAGCAAATCCAAAGTGAAAACGATGCTCATTGTCTTTTTTGATATCAAAGGCATCGTCCGCCATGAATTTGTTCCACCTGGACAAACCGTCAACGCCAAGTTTCACGTGGAAGTGCTCAGGAGACTCAAACGAAGGGTCAGTCGGATCCGACAAGACATCGCAGCCGACTTGGAAGTTGCACCACGACAACGCCCCGGCTCACACCGCCTTTCTTGTGAACAGCTATCTGACCAAGGCCGGCATCCCAACGCTTCCGCAGCCGACCTACAGCCCAGATGTGGCCCCCCCCGGACTTTTTTTTGTTTCATCGCCTGAAAAGGCCGATGAAAGGCAAGCATTTTGAGACGACAGAGGGGATCCAAGCAGCATGCACCGCGGCTCTCAAGGCTATTCCGGAGAATGCCTTCTGTGATGCCTTCAATGCTTGGAAATCGCGCTGGCAGCGCTGCATCGACGCAGAAGGAGCCTATTTTGAAAGTTTTTAAAGAATTGTAACGATTGGCTCAATAATTTTTTTTAAATCGACTCAGGCCTATTACTTTCCGAACAAACCCTGTAAGAGCCAAAAAACCTGATACCTCGACATTTTTCACGAATACAATACTTCCTTTGCCAGAAGGTCCGGCAAAGGAAGTAAATTTTAAAGCTAATGAAAATATAAACAAAATATAGAATTCTGGAGATTTTGTGATACAACTTTTTCTCTCGGGTGCCCACGGAGAGGGAGTGACTGTTTGTGCTGGGCTGAAAATAATATTTCCCCTATACAGGGTATTTATTTCACCCTCACCATTGGGATCTCGAAAACTTCGGGATACGAAGTCACTTAAATTGGGGCACAGTTGCCTATTCAGATAATCAGCAAAATGTCGCTTAGAAAGTTTTGAAATTGAAAGTAATCCCGAAAAGAGACGTAAAAAACGAATTTCCAAAATAGTCTTAATTTTCTCTTGACTTTATTTGTGGTCGCATTTCAAAATAAATTGCACATGGACTCTGCCACATTTTCTCCTGTACAGGACGGCACAATTCGAATATCAATATGACGTTTCGTCCCTTGTCCTCCAGCATCAACTTAATTTTTTCTTATAGACGCCATATTGGATTCTTACACACACGAATAGAACCTTTATTTTGAATTAAAAAGATGTATGTCATACATTGACGTTGCAAATCCTTAGCTAAGTTTAGAAGTTCCTGGGTAGGCCTTGAAATTATTAGATTTCATTTGTTTGCAGAGCAACAGGGTTTGCAACAATGTGAATACCTCTGCTTATTTATGGTTACTATTGTTATTACCATCAATAAAATTTTCATTTGGTATCCAGGTTTCACCATATCTTTTTATTTCCTTTTAATTTTTACCCAACAACAAATTTATGGTCAACTAACAATCACTGAATTTACGGATTAAAAATTCCATTTAAATGTACAAAATTCCAAAATAGTGTCCGTATGAACAAAACAAATTTGATGATGGAAGTCGAAAGAAGAAATGTCGAATTGAAAATTTGACTACGCCATCTTGCAGACGAGAATAAGTAACAGTGACAATATGTAATTTATTTTGAAATCCCATCTCGAATAGAGTCGGGAAAAAATAGAGCGGTTTTGGGATGAATCTGGTGAGCGAAACAAACGTCTGAAATGTTGGTTTTCTTAAAGTAATCAAGGCTTGACAACGTCAATGTATGACGTATTATGCATTTTTTGAATCAAAATTAAAAACTCTATTCATCTCTACAAAAATGCAATGAACCGTCCTTAAGAAATAATAAAGTTGATGCTGGAGGACAAGAGACGAACCGTCATACAGAAATTCTGACTATGTCTTCTTGTAGAGGAGAAAACGTGGCAATGTTAGTGTGCAATTTATTTTAAAATCCCAATATAAAGAAAGTCAGGAAAAATCGGAACAATTTTGGAAGAATTCAGTTTTTCCGTTACTCAACTGAAGTACTTTGAATTGCGAAACCTTCTAAGTGTCACTTTGTTGACTACCCCCATTTAAGCGACTTCGTATCCAAGATTCCAATGGTGAGTGCCAAACTAGAAACACCCAGTATATTCAG